AAGAATATAAAGCAAGAAACATGCCTTAAAGATGAATGGTTTTGTAGGTCTTTCCCTTCTACATCACTGCTCAGCTACAGTCTGTGATTGGTGAAAACACTGTAAAATAAAGACAATTTTAGGAAGTAACTCAAGACATGAAATTTTAAGTATTTGAAATGTATTTTTGATTGAGCCATTATGCTCTGACTTTTGGTGACATTGAGGCAGGACACATCTAAAAGATGTGCATGTGATGTTCATCAGGTAGCCTCTGATTCAGACTACGGTATGCTTTGAAGCAAGAGAGAAAAATAATGAAATATTACAACTTTAAAATATTGAAATAAAAATGTGCTCTGGATTATCTAAACATAATTCCGATAGCCCTAGTGAAAGTACTCACTGATACTTCAGCGTGGCTGGGAGACAGCTTTGATCTTGAAGTGTTAAGTTGTGGAATTTCAAGTTGTAAAAGGCTTTTTATTGCTTATGCTTTTTTAAGGTCTGCAGTTTGAAGTGTGTGCAGTGAAAACAGGTAACTGAGGGCTTGATACTGCAAGGAAAAATGCACAGTATTGACTTGTAGTAATTGGAAAACTTTTGGTCCTACAAGTGGATACACTTGAATGAGGTGGTCATCTGTTTTATCCAGCAATCTGAATGTGTGCTCAGGGAAAGTTCTGAATGCTGGTTTGCAAAGAGGACATGACTTTACTACATGATTCTCAGAAGAGCATTCAAAACGTTAGCAAACCTAATTCATGCTGGGGTTTTGCATGTAAAACTAGAACATAATCATCTTCATGTTTTGAATAACTTCTTGCAGCTCTTGATGATATTTAATATTCATTGGATGAATATCATTTTTTTCTAATCGAATCCTCTGTGTTTTAAAATGTGTAATTTTTAATTCACTGCAGTTTTGTGCAAATCAACTACCCCATATTTATATCTTGACTAGTACAAAGAAGTGCGTATTTGGAAGAAACTTCTGTAGGTAGTGATATAAGGCTATATGGCAAAGATTTTGTGTTAATTGTCATAGGTAATTAATTTGTTAGTAGATTTAATGAATTTGCAGTTGGTCACATTCACATGAAATGAATATAATTGTGAATTGTTTCCTCTTACAAGCATTAGGAGTATTTTGTGTGGAACAAAGAATAAAAGGAATTCATGGAATTCTTTAAATATTTATCAAGCATTTTTGATAAGAAGGCCTTATTTCCGTGGTGAAGTTTTACAAGCATATTCTTTTTTTTTTCTGTTTTCAGTCCCCTGCACATAGCTATTCAAGCTATGACTCTGGCAAGAATGAGAGTGTAGGCAGAGGTGCTGAAGATCTGTCCCTGAATCGAGGAGATGAGGATGAGGATGACCATGATGAGCAGGAAGATCCTGAGAAGGTTAATGAGTCAGATGGGGTAGAAGCTGAGCGACTGAAAGCTTTTAACGTAAGCCCTCTTGCACTCATCTTGTTTACTTCTTCTATTCCTTTTACATTGTTGTTTATGGGTAAGTTTGATGATATTAAAGGCACATTAATTTAATTTGCAGGATTTATTTCAATTATTATTTTTATGCACATTAAACTCTTGCCAGCAGACAACAGATTTACTGTGTTTTATTTAGAATTTTAAGGCAGAGTGCCATCTTTACCAGTGAGGAAAACAAAGCTTTGTTCTGTATGTGTGCATGAGTGACTGTATGTGTGTGGATGTGTGGATGTGCATGTTCACCCGTTGAATGGAAAGAGGCTGTAGCTAGTTTATCAGAAGACCATTCTGGTGGTCAGCTGTTCTCTATTGCTTTCCCAATGTAGATAATTATGCATGAAAACACAAGCAATTGTTCAGACAAAGCAAAAATGTGAGTCAGTTCAATAAAATGATTAGCAATCAGAGCTTATTGTTAATAATGAAACTCAAGTAGTGCCTATTTTCACAATCTGTTCTGGTTTATCTCACAAGTTCTGTGTCCTATAGACTATTCTTTTCTTGTCTTTTTAAATTTTTTTAATCAGCCCCTTCCCCCCCAAATAACCCTTTAAAGTACTGTTTGCTTAATATTTCTGGCTTCCCATTACAAACTCTTCAGTGGATAGAAAAAAAATGTCTCCCTGTCAGTAATCAAGCCAGGAAGCTAGGAAGAGAAGAGAGCTGCCCTCCAAACCCATCTCCTCTGTCTCCCTCTTGCCAACAGATGTTTGTCAGGCTGTTTGTAGATGAAAACTTGGACCGAATGGTCCCAATCTCTAAGCAGCCCAAAGAAAAGATCCAGGCTATCATTGACTCATGCAGGCGACAATTCCCTGAGTATCAAGAGCGTGCCAGAAAGCGCATACGTACTTACCTCAAGTCCTGCAGGCGGATGAAAAGAAGTGGTTTTGAGATGGTGAGTTTTGACTTAAAACCCAGCCCTAGTTTCCATCAAAACCCCATATGTAAATCCATGGCACTATTTTGTTTCCATCTTAGCGTCTTTTGTTTTGTTTTGTTTTGTTTATTTTTTGGGTAATACCAGGTCAGAGGTTTCTTTTTTCCTCCTTCATTCTTCCTGAGTTTATTCCCTTTGGTTTAAAAGTGCTTTAAAAGTATGGATCTATAGGAAGAGAAGAACAAAGCAAGGCATAAGAAGGGAAACCAAATGATGGCACATATAGAGAACTATTTACTACTCTAAGTTGCAGTTACAGATTTTTGCCCGGAAAGGTCTTGCAGTAAGATGGATTTTTTTCTAAAATGCCTATGCTAACTGGATTTCTGTGAGCTCTGTAAAAATCAGATCCTGCTAGAGAAAGGCTATACCCAAGAAAATGTCCAGTGAAGTAACATCACAGTGGCAATGGGTTTGGCTTTGGGTTTTTTCTTGCACACTTTAGCATATAACTTATCAGTAAAAGTTGCTCCTTTCAGTTGATATATAGGTGTGCAGAACACATTAAATGGTTGTAAAACACAGACATCAAACTTAGAATTTGAGCATCCCAATGATTTAGTAATTATAATTGAACCAAAACTCATGAAAATTCTGATGGTATACAACTGTTAGTGTTTTCAGACATTGATATTTTAATATTAGTCAGCAGCCCAAAAATGGGTTCTCAGCAATTGGCAGGTTCATTATCTCTAAAATTTTCTATTTCCAAAGCCGAGGGAAGTCAGAAGAAACTAGGTAGCTACACACCTTGTGTTTAATGTATCTTAGCTATCTCTCTGGCCTTTAGATGACAATAAAATCACCTCATTATTACAAATAGATATCATTTAGCGATTAAACATATCATTTTTTTCTTTTAATGAATCATCTGCAAACCCATTGATTACATTTAAAAATTTCTGGAGATGATTGAATATTACTGCTTCTCTCTTTCTCTCTGTCTTTCTCTTTCCTGCAGTTTTTGCAGATATTTATGATTTTCATATGTTGTTTAAGGTGTTAGATGACAGTTATAAGAACAAAATATCAGGGTTTTTTTTTAGGGTAAAGACCACTATTTGATTACACAAAAAGGAAGACAGAAACTAAACTTTTGTATGTGTTTGTGATTCTAATCAACTGCATGGCTTTATTATTTGAAACACTGGGATAACACTGTTTCTGGACAATGGAAGCTCAGATGAAGCAAGACAGGTAGAATAAAGGACATCTGTACAGACAGAAGTGTGGTGGTGTATGTCAGATTGTTTAGCATTTCAAAATAAAAGAAGGAAAATAGAAAGTAAGTATTTTTTACAATACACTAAGTAGCATTAAATTGCCTCTACTCACTCTGGTTGACAATAATTCAGCAACATCAAGTTCAGCTTTCAGGATGCCAAATATTTTTATTTTGCCGTGCTTTCAATTGAAAATACTTAGAAAATTAGCCAATGCTAGCAAGTCTCCTCACTGTTCCAATTTATGGCTTTATTACTGTCGTTATGCACACTGATGAGCAGTTACGTAAACTGACTCATTTTTTGTCATCTGAAAGACTTGTGCAACTGTTTTGCAATATGAACAAGGGGCTACAGTTTGACCTGTAAGAGCTAGGTTGGCTTGACTTCAGTGCACATTTGCGTATGGTACTTTCTTATGAATAAAGGTTGCAGGATAAAATTTATTCCTGGGAGGGGAAAAGGAGCAGAGATGACCAGGAACATGATCCAAATAGGCAATCTTTGTAGTTAAGAAATATTTCCTGATTTTATAATGTTTAATGACAGGTTCTGATTGGCTTCATTTCCTTTTAAACAAACAAATTACCCTCTAAAACATTGACTTTTCTGCCCATGAACGGAAGTGACAAGGCACTGGAGCTCATGCCAAAGATTGCAGCCCTCTTGGGCCTGAAGGGATATCTGTCCTGTGTCCCTATTTGCAGGTAGGAACACAGGCCAAAGTCTATCCAAAGTCTCTGGAGGAGCTCCCATTAACTTCCAAGAGAATAAGTAGCGTTTTATGTTTATGTCTTGAATAATGCTGAAATTGAATATGTATCCCTTTGTTGTTTTAAATGATTTTCTGATTTCTAAGTTACTGTTTCAACATTTCTTGATTACAAGCAGTTTTGTAAAATGCTACCATGGACAGAGGCGTTTGGATGCACGGTTGTTTTATATGTACTTACCATTTTGACAATGGAGAAGAATCACTTTGTCTGGATCATAACATTTGTTCCAAACAATCATGAAGGGACATGATGGTGTTGATTTGAATAAGGGACTACCCTCAAATGCAGCAAACTGGGGTAATGGTCTGCTCAGCAGTAATACTAGTACCACTGTTATATTAAATGAGATTTCAGATAATAATCTCCACAGGAGATGTCTTTTGCTATAGACATATTAAGTATAAGTTTTTCATTTTGTTCAGGTTCAAAATGCTACATTTTAAGCACCTAGTTGCACGAGAAAAAGAGAATATTCTCTTATGGCATACGACAATTCAGGCTGTGTATGGAACAGTGTAGCTATGTACAGCATCATATGGTAAAGTGAGAGAAAATGTAAACACTGAGTTAAATGAGTGTAAAACTACTTGGTAAAGATGAAAAAGCATGCCTGAAGCTTGCTTCTATCAGTTATTTGCCATCTGTAATCCAAACGACAGTTCTTGCTGCATAACAGGTCAGTTCTAGCTTTGAGGCAGTGAAAAAAGGCTCAGTATCATGAGTGTTCATATTGTTAATTAACATGGTTCTTAGTATTAATATTTTTAAGAGTTTGTTTATAGTTATTCTGCTTCTGATAATGACAAATAGTTTCCTGTGGACTCCGAGGCAGCTTGCATGTCTCTTCTTATAAATATGCCTTTGAGAAGTTCCCTTTCTAAAACTGGAAATTCTTTGCCCATTTGGCTGCTCAGCTTGTAATTGTGCCATTTTCATTCTGACACAAGTATATCCCTCCATAAGGCACTGTCTAAGTTTTTCTCATTAATTAATCGCAAGATTGTTTTTCTTTTCCCATTGTCTCTTGCTACTGGACTCTGAGAACGCTCTTTTACTAAATCCTATGATCTTGCTCAGAATCTTTCATTGGGAGGGAAGTTTGTCAAGTCCTGAAATCACTGGCTTTTAGATGGGATTTTAGATTGTGCTTATATCTGCGCTGTGCTGTGGTACTTTGTGAACCTTAAGGAGCTCTTGATGTTCTTAAAGAAATCCTTTCTCTGTTTTCTTCATTAGCCCATAAACAAAAGAGAAAAAAAATTATTGCCTCTTTCTCAAGGACTGATAGCAATGAGAATTCCTGTATATACATTAGGTATTTTGTGATGCCTCTGTGCCATGCAAGAGGAATTTTCTCCCTGAAATGGCCAGATGACCTGTTTCACTACTGTTTTTAAAATCCTACCTTTAGACTTGTCCCAGCCTCTGTATCTAGAGAGAAATGCCAATTAAGAAAAGAAATTAGTATACAGCTGCTGAGGATATATTTAGTCATAGTCCAGAAAAACTTTAGATGCTAGAAATAATTGAGTGAGGTTGAGTTGAGATCATAGTTACATTTTCTTATTACTGTCTGCTTCCTCCCATCTTCAGGATCTCCTATCATCAATCTCACTGCATTCAGTTTGACACTGCATCTTGCAGTATCTTTTTCACAGTTATGCCTTTTTTTCTGTGTGCATCCCAATGCAAGAGCAAGATTTTGACCTCTCATTCACAAAGAGATTCTTCCTTTAGTTTAAGCAAAAGTAAACCCTCCTTCCTTGGTACTACTGTAATAAAAAGCAATAGTATCAAAGAGCAAAGCCTTCTTTTGTATTGGAGAGAAAAAGCTAGTCATAAATGCTTTTCATTGTCCAAAGTCATGTTTGGATGTGTCAGGGAAGAGTCACACTATGCCTAAATGCTGTTTCTCATTTAGATCCCAGTGTTGTTCATCCCTGCTCCTTCTGTCTTATCGCCAGCCTCAATAACAAATAATTAAGCTCTGTGTCTGACATTTGGTTGGCTGTAAGAGGTGTTTTAACCATTTGCAACTCTACTTACGTTGATCAGGGTGTTTTGAACGCATCTAGTGGCTTGGCATACTTTTGTACCGTGATTGAGCGAGTTTGGTGGGGACTGGTTTACAGAAGGGGACATGTTTTCTGAAATCTGCCCCATTGAGATGACTCAGGATAGGTATCTAGGTTCTGTTTATAAGTTTTAGCTTTAGAGAAAGGAAGATTTCAGTATTTACTGATTTGAGTGCTGAAGAGTCCAGCTGCCCTTGCAGTCACATGGGTTTTCAGTCCTCCAGGCTTTTTGTGTCTGGAAAGGTCATAAGCATTTTCAGGAAGATGAGGGTCTGCGGCTCCAGGGATGCATACCTAATTGATTAACAAGATGGGAAGCAATAAGAAATTTATCACAAGAACAGTTAAATGGAAATCTACAAATAATAGTAGAGTTGTTGCTTTGTACTGTATCCTCAAGCTTGGTCACTTTCCTTTCTAAGCATCTCATCCTTGTTTGAGAGAAGTTAGCTTATGGAAGTCATGTGGGCAACCTGGTTGAAAAAACGCAAAGCTACTCTCTGACAAACTTTGACTGATACTATTAGGTCTCATGTATTCTTGAAAAAATATTTTAGAGTTTCCCTAAAGCTCCTAAGTATTTTTTTCACCACAAAACAGTTAATACTCATGTGATTTTTAAGAACTGCCTTTTAAATCTGTCTCAGATACCTTCTGCTTTTCAATAACTTCTGCAAATATAAGCAATTTTGGAAAAGTGAGTGGCAGAAGAAGTTACACTTTTTCCATTAACCTTGGAAAATGTGAAGAAGTTTGCTTTGACAAAGGCATGGTATTTGGAAAAAGAATTAAAGTAAAAAATTAGAAGTCCATAACAACCTGATAGCACTTAGTTCTTCACATTCTGTGAAAGTGGTTAGGATAGAAATGCAATTTTGACATTT